CATTTCTAAAATGGAAATATTAAAATAATGAGATAGAATAATGATTTTTAATGTTAATTAATTGAAAAATGTCCAGGAAAACTTTCAACTTAATTTTGCAGACATTATGGAATAATTAGTAGGCGCACCGTGGAATGTTTATTCTTCCTTTCTCTTCAATTTTAACTGTGTTCGATGAATAACTGCACACCTCGCAATTTAATTGAGCTTAGCTGAGTGACTAAAACGTCACTTTTGCCATGGCTGGTGTTGCCTACCTTGGCTGTTGAGTTCAGGAGTTTGAAGTCAGCCTAGGCAACATAATGAGATCATCATTCTAAACAAATGGACAAAGAAATATCACTCTTCCTCCTTCATCTCTCGTCCCTTGCTTTCTTCATCCATCAAAGCTCTTCATTCCTCAGGGTCCAGCTCAAATATCTTTTTTTCATTGCTTCCCTGCCACTCCCAAGCTTAAATAATTGTAGCATTTGTTTTGCACCTCAAGAACATTCCATGTTTTTCAGATTAATTGTATATACGTGGGAAGTCAGCTAAAACTATATTATAGCTCATTGGACATGTAACTAACATTCTCACGAAGACTTGTGAGCTTCTTGATTCATATATTTCCTTTTTCTCACATTTGGGCTATGCCTTATGTACTCTAGAACATGTCACAGTACCTGAGCTTAAATGCTCAGTAAGTGTAGTTTGGTATTAAAAAACAAAACAAAAACAAAAGCACAGCTGGGCACCAGTAACTCATACCTGTAATTCTAGCTATTCAGGAGGCTGAGATCTGAGGATCACTGTTTGAAGCCAGCCTAGGCAGAAAAGTCCCATGAGACTTATCTCCAGTTAATTACCAAAAAGCCAGAAGTGATAGAGCACTAGCCTTGAGCAAAAAAGCTCAAGAACAGTGTCCAGGCCCTGAGTTCAAGCCCCAGGACCAGCACACACATACACAAAAAATGCATGTTTATATCTTCTATCTGTCTGCCTGTCTGTCTGTCTATTTCTTCTGTTGAAAAAAAAAAAAAACTAAAACCTGAAAATCTGGTGGAGATTCTGTGTGATCCTCAGTCCATCTCTTCCCAGCCAATGTATACCACGTGTTACCCATCAAAGGTACTTGCAATTGAGACAAGGTAGAAAAACGGTCTTTTAAACTGTAGGAGTCTTGATAAAAGGGGAAAATATTCTGGGAAAACTATATGAATTGTCTACTGCTATTAAAACAAGTATATGTCTTAGAAAATATAAACTGGTCATTATCCTGAATGTAGATGCTTCAAGATTGAGAACAATTCTCACTTGGATGGGCAAATCACTGTGGAGCAGAAGCCCTGCTTCTGTAGACACTGATTCAGAAGCAAAGAACATGTATTTTTCCTCTCTGATTTAGAGCATGTATATGTCAATATGTTGCCTCTGTAGGGATGTGGATGTCCTCGTTTGAGCCCCTGCTCTGAGAACAGAAGCTGAGATCTAAAAAATCTAAGAAAGCAGAGACAGAAATGCCTTTAATGCTTACTGAAGAAATAATTATGCAATAAGACTGGACTGGCTTTGAGTGGCTCTTCCTAGGCTGATGTATAATAACTCAATCTTTGTTAAAAAAATGCTGACATTAGAAAATGTCATGGTCTTATTGGATCAGAGAGGTCAGTGTCACACTGACATAGGGAGGGTAGGGTTTCCTCTAAAAGTTATTGCCATAGTCAATTACCTTCAGAAGAGACAGTACCTAGGGCAGAAATGGAGACTTTGAGATTGTTAGAAGTTATAGCTTTTTTGAGTGTTTGCTGGAAATTGAACCCAGGACCTTATGAATGCCAGACAAGCTCTTTCCATTGAGCTACATCCCTAGCCCCACAAATTAGAGTCTGGTCTTAACTATAATGGGAAGGATCTATATTTGTGATGTTTGGTGAAGGGATTATAATACACCTTACTAAAACCTCATGTATTGGTGAAGGTTGCATGGGAGGAGAGGGAGAGAGAGATAAAGAGGCGGGAGAGAGGGAGAGGAGAGGGAAAGAGAGCACAGAGGTCAGAGTTCAGATATTACAGGCATATATGGAGACAGTACCTTCCTTAAGGATTCCTTTACAGTAGAGACGATGCTGTCACCCTAACAATGTAGAGGATGGGGGTTCAGAGCCATTGTAATTAGCTGTTGTATTCTAAATATAGCCTCCTTTATACTCAAAGGCAAATGAAAGCTGTGATAGCTCTGGTTATCAAAGACACAAGCACCTTTTATTGAACAGATCCTTCTCATCCTGGACTACTTGTTCAATAGACTTGAGAAAGAAAAAAGGGAAAGTCCTCTTCTATTTAATTTGCTAGTTCCTCTTAGATTTCTGCATATTGAGCCTTATTCTTGCATTTATTTTTTTCCATCCTGTTTTCTTCACAAAATGTTCTATATCAGAAGGGAAAGTTTGCAGCTGGATGTTATGTACAAACATGGTTGAATATCTAACTAGCTTTTCAATGAAGTGAGCTTTGAAACAGACACAATTTCCCAGACTGAACAGTGATGCTACTTAACACACTGGAATAGCAGCCATCTTATCCCTGCTCATTGCGTCAATGGTCATACTTTAAAGACTGAATTCAGTTCCTTAGAATTTTTCTGGATTTAAGGTGCTTTGCAATTTTATTCTAACAGGTGCTTACTTGCATAACTTGTTATAAACACTCTCCCCTTGTCGTTAATGGGCTTCCTATAACTTCTTGGACATCATTTTCTTCCTCTTGCACATTTTACAGTAAATACCAACCTTTGCCTTTAACAAAAGTTCTCCCTGGGGATGGGAAGGTGGCTCAGTGGTAGAGTGCTTGCCTTGCATGCATGAGGCTCTGGGTTCGATTCCTCAGCACCACATAAGCAAAAAGAAAAAAGCCGGAAGTGGCACTATGGCTCAAGTGGTAGAGCGCTAGCCTTGAGCTGAAGAGCTGAGGGAGTGCCCAGGCCCAGAGTTTAGGTCCCATGACCGGATCCCCCCCCCCCCCCAAAAAAAAAGTTCTCCCTGTTTAATATATTGCTTTATTTTTTCACAGTTACACACATAGCTGAATAGTATAGAAGATCACTATGGCCTATTAATGATTTTACTTGTCTCCAAGACTTTTCTAATTTTCCTAGTTTCTTCACAGGTATTCCCTTGGGGTAGAGTTCCTGTAGAATATCTATTAATTTTGTTTACTTCAGTAAGACACTTTTAGATTACCTATATATTACAGCTACTTTCTAGGGCTATAGATTGGAGCTCATATCTGCTTGTGTGCTTGGAACACCTGACTTTTTTAGTCTCATGACTCTTCCAGGGTTGTGCTGAAATACCTCAAGGGAGGATGCAAACATAAGAACAATGATCCAGGTTACTAAGGTGATAACTGGAGAGAGGGAAAGAAAAGTCTTCCAGGGACAGGTGGAGCGGGCCATATTGGAATCTAAACACACTAGTGAAGCAGCATACTTTTTAAAGGTCAGAAGCCTACCCAAGGAGTCCTAGGAGGCCGAGGCAGGGGGATTAGGAGTTTGAGGCTAGCTGACCTAGGATATATAAGGAGATCCTGCCTTACAAAAGTGTAGACATTATTGCTCAGAGGTAGAGCTACCAGTGAACACTTGCCTATCATGTGCAAAGCCCTGGGTTTCGCGCTAAGCACCTGAAAAACAGAACAAAAGAAGACAGCGTGGACACCAGTGCCTATAATCCTAGCTAATTAGGAGGCTAAGCTTTGAGAATCATGATTGGAAGTCAGCTGAACAGAAATGTCCAAGAGACTGTATCCAAGGAGGTGCTGCTCAAGCAGTAGAAAGCCAGCCAGGAGTGGGAAAAGGCGAGACCACCAGTATAGTGAAGGAGGTGGAGAAGCCAGATTTTTTTTTTCTAGCTAATGTAAGTCTTCTAATATGGATATGTTTTGTCCTTAGAAAAAGAGTTTAAACAAAATAGGAAATTGTGCCTATTTTATTAGTTTGAATAAATATATTTTACAGAATTAATGTTTTCAGTTGTGGGTTTTTTTTGTTTTGTTTTTGTTTTAGAGTAAAACCCAGAAGAACCCTGCCCATGCTAGTCAAGTGTTCTACCACAGAGTTACACCCCAATAACATGATAATTTTATATCATTTCCTTTCATTAACATTTTTCAGGAAGAGCAGTGATATTTTGACAAAGAACTCGGAGTCTGAAGAATAGGGGGGGGGAGGCACAAAGGAAAGGAAGCAATCAATTTTTTCCCCCTTTGTGATGTGTTCTGAAGATGTAATAATTCTAGTTGTAAAGGTGCAGGGAAAGAATCGATGACTTCCGGTGTTCCTCACCAGCGGGGATGGGAGGGGGGAGCACACCTCAGCCTCAGATTCCTTTTGTCTTCTGAAAATAAAAGGAGGCATAGGGTATTAGAGCAGGTTTTTTTTTTTTTACTAGGGGTTAAACTCGTTTACTTACGGACCTGGTTGGTCCCAGCAGCTTTCACTTAATAGCTCCTGCAAAGCAGCTGTTTCTCATTTAAATAAGGGGGCGGGGCACAGAGGCCCCCCGGGCCGACTTGGGGTACGTACAGCACAGGTGGGGGCCGACCCCAAGTCTGGAGCACGAGGTGCCGGTGTTGGGCAGGTGCCGCCTTCTCGCCCTGGCTCCCAATAAGGCGGGAACGACGGCGTTGCTGGGTTCGCGACTTGGTTGCTGTGGCAGAGCACGAGAGTATTTCAGGCAGCAGACCTCCAACCAGTCGAGTGTCCACACCTGGCCCGGGGGAAGGCAATCCGCATCCATAGGAACCACCGGGAACAACCGAGAAGCTGAGGGTTTGGGACGCCAGAGGGTTGGTTGGGCTTAGGCTAGGTACGATTGTTCCGCAGTGATTGCTTCTCCCACCCGCTCATCACCCCAGCTCCCTATCTCGATTGGCTACCCGGTCTGCCACTCAGTTCCGCCGCGCTGACTCCCATTGGCCTCTTCTAGCTGAGGCCCCGCCCCCACGAGCTAGACACGGGCAGTGGGGCACCGGGGAAGAGAGCCCGGCGTTTGCTCGGGGCAGCAGGGGGGTGGGGGGGAGGCGGTGGCGGCGGCTGTGGAGAAGGAGGAGGAGGAAGAGGAGGTGAAGAAGGAGGAGCAGGGCCAGCGGGAGGCAGCGGCGGCGACCCAGTCAGGGTGATGGTGCAGGTGCCCGGGGCCGGCGCGGAGCTGCCGGGCTGAGGGGCTCGCGGTCCACCGTCCGCAGCGCCGCCGCGTCGCTCCCGGGGAACGGGCGAGCGGGCGGGAAGATGCTGAGCAGGTTGATGAGCGGCAGCAGCAGGAGCCTGGAGCGCGAGTACAGCTGCACCGTGCGGCTGCTGGACGACAGCGAGTACACCTGCACCATCCAGGTCAGCGCCGCGCCGCGCCGCGCCACTCCGCCCGCCGGCGGGACCCCCTTTTCCCCCTCAGTCCCGGGTCCCCCCCCCTCAAGTCGGCCAAGTTGGCCGGCTTCCGCCGCCCGGGGGTCGCCTCAGCCCCCGCGCCGCGCTTTGTCCGCCCCTGGCTGAGGCGGACCGCCCCCGGGAGCAGGACGCCCGAGCCTCTGCCCCAGGGGCCCGGGGACCGCGCGCATCGCCACCCGGCGAGCCCCGGCGTCCCGGACCCCCAACTCCTCCCCGGTGTGTGTGTGTGTGTGAGGCAGGGGGGGGGCGGTGAGGGCTCGTCGGGTCCGGGCTCCTCAAGCCCGCCCCGGGGTGTGTGTGGGGGAACCGAGCACCTTCCACGGGCGCCCGGAGGGAGGCGGGCCGGGGGGTGTGAGGGGAAGGGCTCCTCTCCTGGCCGCCCCGTCGAGGGGGCGCGGGGTGCGGGGGGGTGGCGGGGGAGCCGCAGGCTTCGGCTCTCCGGCTGGGTAAGGCCGACTGGCCGGCGCGTCTGATCAGTCTGCTTGGAAGGATAAAGGTTTATGTCATAATTTCTCCCCTAGCGTTTGTGAGTCAGAGCTTTCAGAAGGTGGAAGGGAACGCGCAGCCCATGCGGAGTGGCCTATCGAAGGGAGCCCAGACCTCAGGGCTGTACAGATTGAGATACTTCTCCCCCCCCCCCCAACCCTCCCGCTTTTGGATCCCCAAATCTGGCCATTTCTGGCCTTGGGGGGAAAGGAAGAGAGGGCGTGAGGTAAACATTTAGCAACAAGTTCCAGCGATTCGGGGGGGATTGGCAGTGGCCAGAAAGAAAAGGGTGACTTGAAAAAGCAAACCAACACGCTAAGAAGATGAGAACGCTGCTGCGTCTCTGTTCTGGCTGAAGCTGGTGGTTTGGTTTTTTTTTTTTTTTTGAAAAGGCTATTTGTTTTTGCAATCCTCTTGCCCGTGTTCCTTCACTACTGCTCTGTGGCGCGTCAGGAGTAGTAGTCTCTCCCAGGAATGCAGGCACAGCGTCTCTCTGCCTCTCTCTCCCTCTCTCCTCCTTTCTGTCTGTCTGTCTGTCTCTCTCTCTCTCGTCCTCCCCCCACTTTCTCCCCATTCTTTCCCCCTTCTCCTCCCCCCTTTATAAAGTCAGAGGTTGAAAAAGATTGACAATGCCCCCGTGTTCAGTTCATCCGCCCGAGGAGGCTCCTCCGCTCGCCGTCAGAAACTGCTCTTTGTGGAGAAGCAAATTTGAGTTGGAGGGTCTCACCTGATCCCTTTGCCTTTGCTACATGCAACCAGAGGAGGCTTCTCAGTTCAGATGTGACGGATTAAAAACACTGCCCACCTAGGTCCTTCCTCAGGGAGCTCCCCCACCCAATTAATTTACTATTATTATTATTTTTTTTTGCTGACGGTGCTCAATAGCATAAAATAGTGATGTATGAGAAAGAAGCTGGGTAGTGTAAGAGGAGCAGCTGTTCTCTGCAGACTTTGTGTTCACTTCAACCTACTACTTCTCTCTCCATTCCCTTCCCCACTCCCCCCACCCCCAAAAAAATCCAGCTGTGGGGTCTTAGTGCTGGCTGCAGCCAATATCCATGAAGGTAAAAAAGAAAGAAAGAAATATCTTCATAAAGCCATTCAAATACAGTCATAAAGATACTAGCCATCAAATGAGATTTTTTTGTACTTGAATATGATAGATGTCATGTATTATTCCTTTGCTGAATAAGTGGCATGTTACTTTTTGTTTCTATTGTATCTTTATACTATGCACAGGTTTTCTTTCTTTTTTCTTTTCTTGGAGGAGGGGAAAAAAGAAGTTGACATCTTTGCTATTTGAGTACATTGTCAAGAGCTTTAAAAGCCTATAACCTTCTTTTGAAATCTAAAGCATTTACACAATGGCCTATCAAGGGTATTGTGAGATTCAGACTTCATGAGTCTTAAGAATATTTTTGTGCTGTATGGTGAAATAAAATTTCTGAAGCAGGTCATTAACTTTTGCCAGGGTACAGAGTACAAATGAAAATACATCACCACTACATGAGAAATGATTGATAATTCTGTAGCTTTAAGGCATTACAATAAGGAAAATGGTTATTTTTCCCAGTTAGTGGAACTTATGAGGTTGGTTGGTTGATAGGTGTTGTAATTTTTTTTTGTCATTGAGAAAAGATGTTTTTAAGCTAAGCCAGGATTGTATTGGGTTTGTGTTTGCCTATCCTATTGTGATTGTGTTTGTTTTAATGATGCTCTTCTTTTGTATTGTTATAATTTAACTTTCTAAAAAATAAGCATGGTGTAAATATAGCTACCCTATAGTAAGTGTCCATGGTCTAGATGTATTAGTGATTGTGCATTGTTTCTTGGGAATCTAAAAACCACAGGAATTCTAAAGTGTATGTAGCGTCATTCTTTGACTCCACTATTTGAATTGCCTTTATCCATGTGGGGAAAGGTTTAAAAGAAAGACAATAGCTTACATGAAATGAATATTTTTCATGTATAGGTGTTTTGAACATTGAAAGATTGAGCTTTTCTTTCCAACTCTTCCTCCTGCACATTTCAGCAGTGTGCATGTGCACACATGCTTATTTGTCAAACCCTGGGTACAGCATCTTTTAAATTTGAATGGATAGGATGGTGAGTTTCTGATTAGCAGTATTTCTACATTTTAAGGATTACAGTACCATATATTTTTAAATTTTCCATAATTTGAACTCTTTCCTTCAAGTGGTGTATGTCATATTTATGTTTAGATAAGCTATTTTAAAAGATCATTATGACTTTTGAGATAATTGAGCTCAGTTAGGATTTTACAGGATTAGAAAAGTATCATTGGGTGGGAGTCATGATAGTCACATTGGGTAAATTTCATTGTAGGCAGTTCTGTCATGGTATTGGTCTAGCCTTCTGCAGCAGTTATACTGATTTGGCATTTAGAATGTGATTATTAAGGTAATCAAAAAGCCATACATCTTCTCAAAGAAGGTTGCCACAGTTACCACATCATTCTTTTATTCCTTCTGGTATGTAAATGTATTTGTAGACCAGGAAAAATGAAAATATATATTAGAAGGTCTATACTGTAATTGCTTCCTTGTAAAGATCATTGTTACCAGCTCCCTGCCAGTTTTGAAGGTCATTGCTTCATAAATGCAGATCTGATCCATATTTTTCACTCATCTGCTTTATCTATGCATATTTATATTATTTACTGTGTTTACTACCCTTACAATGTTGTTTTATTTAGGGAAAATGGGAAAAATTAAAAATCTATCTAATATCTTTGAAGCCAAACTAAATAGGGTCATTTAAAGGCTTAGGCATGTATACTAGGCATGTAGATCCGAAGGAATACATTATCTTCTGTCTTTCAGGTAAAATAGTTTATACGTTATTAAGAATATGTATTGCAGAAGTTCTAGTGGTAATTTGTTTAATGAATACATATTTTCAAGTAAAAATAATAATTGCTTTTTCATAATAACTGAAAGATAAGATTTCCCTAGAAATGAATTTGATTTTACTGGGGATATATTAAAGTAACTGATTAACACTTAGGTTAGACAAATTTTTAAGTTACTTGCCATAAATGGAATGTTTGTGCCAAGGTGGTTCTGTAATGGAACCAATATTTAGATTTTACTGTGGCACCACCACTTAGGGTAAGGGTGGGACAGGACAAATGAACTGGGCCCTGAGCTGGCCCAAAAACGGTATAGGCATTGCCATCTCATTTCCTTCACAATAGCATTATAGATTGACTATATTTGCATTGTGCCAGGTAAAGAAAATGAGATTGTGGGTTGGTTGGGAGAGCCCTGTGTTGAATGACTAATTTTATACTAGGCTTTCTGGTAGGTATTTTGCATATGCCTTATGAGACCCATTTGTCAAGGAGGTAGTATTATTTCTATCTTACAGATGGAAAGACAGGTTGAGGAGGTTGAAGTACCTTGCCTCCTGTTAGTAAGTGGTCTAATTATATTTAAACCATGGTCCTTTTGTCTCTTAATCTTGTTTTTGTTTCTTCTTTCCATTCTGGCTCCCAAGTTACCTCATCTCTCTCTCTCTTTCTACCTTTCTTCATCTATAGAATGGAAATGCTAATGATTATTTCATAGCAAAAAGAAAATGATTTGGAAATATAAATAATAAGCAATATTTAAACAGACTAATACATTTTTACATTGTGGCTTATTCTGTTCAAGTAAAAAATAGAATCGGGGAATGTTCTACTCTTTTCTAAGAAAACTAAATCAGTTTAAGCCCTAAGTCTCCTTCAAGTGATTTCTGATTCATCTCAATGAGATTGTAAAATTCCAGGCTGATATACCTGGCCTCTTTACTAAAACTTTTCTTTAAGATTTACCTCCCTTCTATCCTGCCAAGTCTTTTGCTTGGGGAAGGGAAGAGACATTTATTCCTGGGCTACAATTTGCTTCTTCTAAGAATTTCTGCTTCATAAATGGTAAGTGAAATCCTTTGTTTTATTAATGCAAAAGTGATGTTGTTAGAAAATTAGGATAATTTTATTCATAGAGAAAAACACAAAGCTGTTGTATTTTCATGAATATTGATTAAAAAGTTTTAACAGGTAACATGCTGTCTCAGGACCTCTGTTACAGTAGCAAGTCAGTTAGACTCTAACTCTTGAAACTAAGCTTCAAAACTAACCTTCTAGAATCCTAAAAGCACTTGTATTGTTCCTTAGTTTCTGTATTAAATATTTTATACAAATGAAAATATACCCTTGAGTACTGAAGTTACATTCTGAATACACAGTTGGACTTCATTCTTTTTCTTGTGTAAAGAAGTTTTAGTAGCATCTGAGAGAGATTTAGAAGCATCACCACAGCATAATTTACTCAGGGTTATTTGTATGAATTTGCATTCTATTAAATGTTTGGAATGAATATGCTAGATGAGGCACTTCAACATACCATATAATAAAAGAGCATTGGATTTTGAGTCCTCTGTTACATTGCTTAGAG